ATTCATTATACAATAAGAAGGACTTGCTGTAACTTCATGGTAGTGAGATGGGTGGCTAGTAATATAACTATTCCTCTTGACACACACACACACACACACACACATATATTTAGATGTATATAGTCAGATGCTTTGAAGACTCTAGCAATAATAACTTCAAATGCAATACTTTCCAAATAGACTCTTATTTTGTTCTCTAATAGTATCACAAGCTTTAATTGGAGGAAAAGTGAGTGTGTTGTGTATTTTTCTGAATGTTGGAGATTATCCAAGAAAATCAGGTCACATGTGGAACTGACCTTGAGGATACCGAACTTGAGTCATCTGAAGATGACCTTGTGTTCATGTAACTGTCTGAGCTAAAAAAGAGCATTGTGTAACTTCCCACCCTTGTGGATAAATGATAATCTAAGCAAGTGGTCATTGTTCATCAATACTCATTCAGGGTTTTGTGCTTCTAATATTCTAAAAACATGAAGGTTTGATTTGCTTTGGTTTGGTGATAATGGGTAGTTGCTTACTTAGCTTTTTGAAAGAAGATCTTACTGTATCAAATTTGATCCTCCTGTCTCAGCCTCACAAACACTTGAATCACAGACTTGTATGAGCATATGTGGGCAAAACAGATTTTTTTTAAATTCCAGTTTAGTGACCATATAAAATGATCAGTTAAACTTGAGAACTCCCTTTTAGAGAGACACCTTTAAAATTAAGCTTGCAGGTTTTCCATTTTGTTCAGAAGAAGCCAGAACATGAAGGGAGCATACTTCCTGCCATGGCTCTCACAGTACACACAGGTCACTTCCTGGGAAACATGTGCCTGAGTTGACCCATATGAGCCAAACTTATAGCTGTAAAGGTTGCATTTTCTGTGTGAAGAAGACATTGTCATTATAACCATATCATTGTACTAAACTGGGGAATTCTTTTCCCAGATGGTTTTTTGGTAATCACATTGGTAAAGGTCCATCCGTGTACACTACAGAATGCACTGGCATCCAAAGAGAAGCAATGGGGAAGTGAAATTAGGGCACCACAGAAAACAGAACCATAATTATTTAATAAATGGACAGTCTCTTGATTCTTTTACGTAGAACTTCATTTTAAAATCTGCTTACCCTGTCTGGAATTCATGCGATTTGGTCATAATTCTTAAAATCGCTGGTCATAGGTCATCCTACAAGGACCTTGGAGTAAAAAATGTAGTATAGTCTAGACAAAGCTTTGTAATGCAAATACATATGTTTCTGGCAAGTTGCATCTCTCCTAACCTCAGTTTCCTTATCTTTAAAATGAAGAGGCTTAAACAAGATACACTTTAAGCTTCCAGTAGCTCTAACACAGCATGCCAATAAATCTTTACTGCAATCAGCCACCCTGCATTGAGTGTTTCCTGTGTGCTAAGCAAGGAGTAAATGGCTTCCTGTGAGTGCCCTAAGGCCAGCTTCCTGATGCTGCCTAGATCAAAGGGTGCTGCTTATGTACTAAAGGAGCTGAGAAGAACTAAGATGAGCAGCACAAAGGGAAGAGGCTCTAGCAAGAGTGTCAGAAAGTAAAGAAGCTAGCTGTAATAGCAAAGCCTTTCATATGTCTGTATCTTTAAAATGGCCTCAGATGATAGACTTTGCAGGACAGAATCTCCCAACTGCCACACACTTATTTAATTAAAGCTGGCCACCCTGGCAACCTTAATCTCTTAGGATAAGTTCTCCTCACGTTAAAAGACTAAAATTCTTAATTACAGACACACCAACTATCCTAGCATGTATACCGAAGCCAAATCTTGATTGCCGAACTCAGTAGAAGAAAGATATTAGGAATTCCTTTAGGACTGTTGTGTCTTTGTCTAAGTGCTTTATGTCTAGTCCTCTGTTGGGGGAATGTGGTGGCTGGGTTCAGGGTAGCAAATAGATAGTGTGGAAGTCATAGCTACTGAGAGCTAGTTACAATGCCTACCCTGTTAAATAAAGGGGTGACATTTGTTTATTCAGAATGTTCATTGCTTATTTACTCTGTGTCAGGTATTCTAGGACATAGATATTCAAACCTGAGAAGTTCTCATTACACACACACACACACACACACACACACACACACACACCTGACCTGAGGGGTTCTCACTATAATCTTACACAGAGACATACATACACGCACCTACATAAATACATAAGAATTATGCAGTGTTAAGTGTTATCAGTGTGAGGTTTGGTTTTGGTTTTGTTCTGTTTAGTTTGTTTGTTTTTGAGTCAGGGTTTCTTTATGTAGCTAACCCTAGCTGTCCTGGAACTCACTCTGTTCACCAGGCTGGCCTCCAACTCATAGAGATCTGCCTTCCTCTGCCTCCAGAGTGCTGGTATTAAAGGTGTGCGCCATCCGGCAAGGATTTTTAAAAAAAAAAAATAAACGCATTAGTAACCCACTGGCTTTGTTCAGAACCTAAACACTTACTTGTTTGCTTTTTATTTTCCATCAGCAAACAGTTATTGAGTCCTATCAGCCACATTAAGAGGCCAGTTTCTAGGGGGATAGTTCATTTGGTACATTATTACCATGCAAGCCTGAGGACCTGTGTTCAAATCCTCAGTACTCAGGTACAACACTGGGCCTGGTGCATGTGCCAGTAATCCCAGCAAAGGCAGGATGGGAGGATGGGAGGCAGCAACAGACAAATCCTTGGAAGCTCCTGGGCAAACCAGCCTGGGCTGTGAGGAAGGTCCTAGGGATACTGTCCCAAAGTAAAGGGGGATGATGTGTAAGGATTAACACCCCAAGTTGTTGGCTGTACACACACTACATACGAATAAATGTGTAGATATGAAGAACTAAATCACATACAGACATGTGTATATATGTACGTGTTACCTGTGTATAATACTTGCTGTGTATACTCAGAAGTAACACTTGAGCCAAGCAGGTAAATAATCAAAAGAAGTCTGGATTTGTGTTCACGTGTTTGTGAGAATATTTGGTTGGGGAGAAAGTAAGGAGAGGAAGAAAGGAACTTTTTTCCTCACTCCAGCTCTTCTGTCTTTTTTGACTGAGCAGTGCATCAGGTGACAACCTGTATAATGACTTCTACTCAAACTGGACAAGAAAGAAGATGTAGTATGACCATTAGAAACATGGTTCTTGAGTGCACACACAACTGTGAGAAAGCATTTCCTGAAAGTTCTCCCACTGCAGAAAAAATTGAAATCTCAGGGAATTTTTTTCCCTTTATTGGTCAGATGTCCCTTCCAAGAAGCACCAGGCTGCCTCATCTCAACCTGCTCCCCTTACCAAGGAAACGGAAGTGGTCATAGTCTTTGCCACCAAACCATGGGTGAAGTATAATTATGCTACCTCTGTGAGACAATGTAGGAACAAACATCTGCAGGACTGAATCAAAAAAGCCACGAATGCAGCTAGCCCAAGCTGTGAATCATCCATGGACTCAGATTAAAGGAGTTGTGTTGTGTTTACCTTTCTCCTTATTTTCTTTGTAATTGAGAAGACTGACTCTGTTAGCTCTGGCACTGGGATCTGAGGGGATATATGGATTTCAGGCATTGACTCCTGCTCTGGTGTTTGCCACATCACAACTGTAAAGCAGATGGACAATGATAGTGAATAGTGGTTTTGATGTCTGCTTTGTCCTCTCTGCACAGTTTGCTTTTGCTTTAAAAGGTTGGGATAAATAGAAAATGTTAGATGTGTTTTGACTAAATAATCCAGTCCTTGAATTTTAGCTTCAATAACAAAGGAGCAGAAATTATTATAAGCTTTATATCCAAAAGAAAAAAAGTTACAACTGCTGTTTTTTACTTTGTAATATTTCTCTTTTATTTCAATTGTGTGTGTGTGTGTGTGTGTGTGTGTGTGTGTGTGTGTGTGTGTGT